GCCTAGCTAAACTGCTGAGGCTGGCTTTGAACTCGCGATCCTCCTGCCTCGCCTCCAGAACAGCTGGGACACGGCGCCCAGCAAACCCTTTTAAACATTTCAGATGATAACAGAACATTCTCTTCTCTGATGAACTTGGTTTTCAGTACTTATTTAACCCATCACTATCAGGGTTCGGATCTGTGCAAATCTGATGTGGCAAATACGGTCACAACCCTATGTATTTCCAGGATGGACACTGCACCCAAAACCCGCCATCCTCAAATGTCAGGCAAAGCACTGGACTTCAATCCTCCATTCTGTGCGTACGTAGACCCGCGAGGGCCGGGAAGGGAGTTCAGACTTCCTCCTCTCGCTGCCGCCCCCCGGTGACCGTCGGGCAGAGCCGCGATTCGACACAGGCTGGACGAGTCGAGGGAAGGAAGCCAGCCCTGGGCAGGAGTCACGTTACCTCCGCTTAACCTTCCCAAGGGCGTCTGTCCTCCCCAGCATCATGAAAGGGCCAGAGGACCACCGCAGCCCTGGGTAGGGGCAGAGGGCAAGGGGATTTTCCCGCGAGCGTAGTCAGCCAAGGGGACTCCATCCCGGAAAGGAGACGCAGACTAACCGCTGCCAGGGGGGCGAACACCCGAGCCCGGGCGCTGAGTGGGCAGGGAGCTAAGGGAGCGTTACCCGAAGGAACTTCATGGCCACCAGACGGAACCCCTTCTGCTCGAAGCGCTTGATGATCTCGCCCACCAGGCCGCGCTGCACGCCATCCGGCTTGATGGCGATGAAGGTGCGTTCGAGGTTTGCCATGGTCCTGCGGAACCCGAGGCGCAGTCAGGGCCCGGCGTCTGCCAGGACACAGCCCCGCCGGGGCCGCGGCCCGAGTAGGGGAGGCCACGTGGACACCCGTCCGGCCACCCTCCTCCCCCGGTTCAGGGACACGTGGCTTCCCGGGCGCTTCCGCCCTGCCCCTGCAGGCGCCGCCGCCCGTATGCAGTGTCTCAAGGCCGGCGGAGGGAAGGTGCTGGGGACCCGGATCCGACCATCGCGGTGCTGCGAGGGGCCGCGGGCGCGTGGAGACCGGAGCTCGGATCCGCGGCGAAGCGGTACGGGGTGGCGGCGGAGAGTGCACCCAGTCTTACCCGGGAACTGTGGACCGGCGGTGGCTGTGCTGCAAAACCGAAATCTGAGCGACCACCGGACCCGGGAGACAGCAGAGGAGGAGGAGCGGGGGCGGGGCGCCGGACGGCCACACCCCGGAGGGCCCGCTGCCCAACCCGAGGATGCCCGGCCCGCCGAACGCGGCAGGCCGCCTTGTCCCCGCCCTGCAAGTGGACGCCCTCGCCTTGCGAGCGACTACCGGGGTTTCTAGGCGGGAGGTGATTTGTCCCCTAACTTCCGGGCCTCCCCAATTAAGACTGCCCTTGTGCCTCCTGCTTCACTTCTACTTGGCGAGAACCTACTGCTGGCCTGGAGTTCTTTCCCCAGTCTATTCCATCTGCTTTCACCCTCCGCCAGAGCGCCCCGGGTCCAGCTGGATTCCCCTGCCCTCAGGCGCCCCCAAGTCCTTATCCTTAACACCTCTGAAAGTCAGCCTTCCTTTCCCCACCCCTTTGCTTAAGCCCTGGTTAAGCCCTCAGCCTGTTCATCCACGACCTCGCCTCAAGCCTCAAGCCGCTCGCACGGAGCCTCTTTCAGCACCCTCCTCTGGGTGTCATCTGCTCTAGATTCTGTACCCTACCTCAGGAAGGCGTTCAACTCCTTGAGAAGATATTGCATGCCTTTCGCTATATGTCCCTGGTCTTGCCTGTCTCCCCACTACCCTTCCAACCTTAATTAGCTACCCTGTTCCCACACAGCACTACTTAACCACACGGTTAAGTTCAACCGGAGACACACCATAGCAAGTCTAGATTCTCACAGAAATCAGGCCTGTTGACTTGTAAACAGCCCCCATTCCTGTCTATCAGGCAAACCATTAGCTCCCTGCAGGTACCACCCACCCTTCTTTGCTGGGTCCTAACCACAAAAATCACAGAATTTCGGTACAACTCTGGTGACCCAGCCAGCTGCAGGTTTGTCTCAGGTTGGCTTGAGCCCAAGTTGGGGCCTGGAACCTTCTCAGGCACTGATTAAGACATATAGATTGTTGTCCAAAACACAAGCTGGCTAGGAGCCTGAGCCAAAATTCCCTAAACCCACATGTAAGCTCCATACTGTGGCCCCTTGCTGAGGAACACCCCTTTCCTCTCCATGTCTGTCTCAAGGAGGAGCTGCAGCACTCTTAAGTTTCCCTAATAAGCTTTGGGCTGTTCACCCTGGCAGTTAGTGCTTCTTCTGGAATCCCAACAGGCTCATCTAGGGATGGTTTTCACCCTTGGAGTTCCTTGTGGGAACTACCCTGCCCATTTAATCAGGAGAAAGCATCCCTTTTTGATGGTCCCCTGCTTCTCTAGGGGAGTCAGCAAGCCCTACCCTCAGTGTCCCTTACACTGACATCTGTATACCAGCACTCCCTGCCCTGAGATGATGTGACTCTCTATGCCCCCCACCCAGTACTCTAAGCTGACCTCACTAGCACAGCACTTATTACCTGTGACTGACCAAATGGGTGACAATCCAAGCGTGTAATTACACCTTACCAGCTTCCCAAACCTTTAGTGGCAGAGCATCAACCCATGATATATTGACAATAATTGTCACTTTCCCTCATTCTAGGACAGGGTTTCCTTTGACCTCAATCTGAAGCACACTCATTTATTTTCCTTTTAAGAGTTACCAAATGTCAAACTGTGGGTAAGAGTGTGGAAATTTCACTGGGCATTTCTCTATCCAGTAGACACCTGTTTGCCCCTTGGCCAGATCACTAATACCAACATATAGTTCAATACTAACCCTCTCCAACATCTCTCCTTTCCTTCCTGGAAAGACCTTCCTTAACAAGAAGCTATAGCACTCCTGCCTCACTACCCACATTCTGCAAAGGTTCAGGTAGGTGCTGGTACTGTCATCCCACACCCTAAAACAGGACATGCTTTGCATGAAATTGAAATGCATCTAGCCTCCAGCTGCCCCAAAAGAAGGCAGCTCTATCCCAACCATCCTCCTCCTACTTTCCCTTGCTCTCTATTGCCCCTTCCAGCCAGATGAACAAACACTAAGCAAGAAACCCTGCTTAAGTTTATGGCAAAAATCAGTTGTCTTTCAATATTCATTCTCACTTTCTAGTTCACCTTTTTCCAAGGTAGAACTACTGAGTTTCTTTGTTTTTTTTTTTAAGATAGAGAGAATTTTTTAATATTTATTTTTCAGTTTTCAGTGGACACATCTTTTATTTTTATGTGGTGTTGAGGATCAAACCCAGCGCCCCATGCACGCAGGTGAGCGCGTTACCGCTTGAGCCACATCCCCAGCCCCAGAACTTCTGAGTTTTACTTGAGCACAGTTTACTCAAATAAAAAGAATATTTTCCAGGCTCTTAGTAGCTAAATGCAGCCATATGACTAAGTCCTAGCCAATAGGATGTCAGGGACAGTGAAGGTATTTCACTTTTGTTTTTTTAGTTGTGTTTGGTTTGGGGTTTGTTTTGATTTCTTTTGTTTGGTACCAGGGATGCTTTACCACTAGGCTACATCCCCAGCTTTTTATTTTGAACCAGGGTCTCGCTAAGTTGTTTAGGACCTTGCTAAATTGCTGAGGCTGGTTTTGAACTTCAGATCGTTCTGTCTCAGCCTCCTGAGTCTCTGGGATTACAGGTATGTGCCACTGCACCTGGCTCTTTTTTTCTTTTGAGACAGGGTGTCACTATACTGCCCAGGCTAGCCTTGAACTACTGCCTTCCAGGTAGCTAGGACTACAAATATGTATCACAGAACCCAGTTTGAGTTATACCTTTAAAAGTAAAGGATACTCCTTCCATTTCCATCCCAAACTTTCTGGAATGTGGCCCTAGGGGTAGTAATGGAGTTGGTTAGAAGGAACTGAGTCCCTGGACAACCTCAAGGTTCAGAGCCTTACCACCAACACCATCCCTAATGAACAGCTTGGATTTTAAATTGGAAGAGAAGTACATTTCTGTCTTATCTCTCTTAAAACAACCAAATCAATATCCAAATAAGTCCAAGCTACTTAGATTCGTCCCACTTTGAGACCATCCCAGGGATCTAGGCCTACTGTCCAGTTTTTTTCTTAAATATTTTTTTAGTTGTAGTTGGACACAATACCTTTATTTTATTTATTTATTTATTTTTATGTGGTGCTAAGAATCACACCCAGTGCCTCGTACATGCTAAGCGAGTGCTCTACCGCTGAGCCATAAACCCAGCCCCTTTTCTTGAGTTTTTAAGTAGTTACAACTTCTCATATTTCTGAAGACCAGGATGGGTATCTTTTCTTTTTCTTTCTTTCTTTTTTTTTTTTTTTTTGTGTGTGTGTGTGTGTATGGTGCTAGGGATTGAATTCATGGCCTGCAAGGCAAGCACTGTACCAATTGAGCTATATCCCCAGCCCGATATCTTTTATTTCTGATGAATATCCAGTACAATCCAGTACAATCTCTATGTATTTGTGGGGGGGACTGAACCCAGGCATGCTCTAACACTATGCCATATCCTCAGCCCTGGTTTATTAGTTTTTCTTTTTTATTTTGAGCAGAGTCTCACTAAGTTGCTTAGAGCCTCACTTAGTTGCCAAGGCAAGCCTCAAACTTGTGGTCCTTCTACCTCAGCCTCCTGAGCTGCAAGGATTACAGACATGTGCTACCACACCCAGCTCCTATTAGTTTTGACAACCTAATAGATCCTCCATAAATACTTGTTGACTGGCTCTGTGCCAAGAGTGGATGACATGTAGGAGGTGAGGAGGTAAATAGGCAAAGAGAATGCCTGTGTGTATGTGAGATCTTCAAGCCAATATAAATAATTTATATAGTATTTATACTCCAGTAGCTCAGATATTCAGAAAACACAAAAAGAAGAATGCAAAGCAATACAAAGTAACCAATTCAACTAATCTTATGTTGAGATGAAACACTTTAATCTGATGGTAGCACATAACACTGTACAGGGAGTACTCACAGCTCAAGAGTTCCCTTGAAGAAACTCTTATTTATTCCAGAAATAACTAGATTTGCTATAGTCTGGTCCCCTGCCCATGGGAATGGCGGGAAGTAGACAAGCAAAGCATGGTGGCTTGCCCTCCTGTCACTCGTAGATCCAGTCCTGTGCACAACTCTTGTAATCCACCAGTTCCTCAGGTTGAAACCACAAGCTGATCTCCTTCTCTGCACTCTCCACAGAATCGCTGCCGTGGATAATGTTCCTGGTGGGGAAGAGATGGCCACATTACCAAGACCAGAAGAATTAAGCCCAGAAACCCACCACATTCCCAATGCCAGAAAGTCTAGAGCCCAAAGGTGCATGCACTTTAGACCATGTAGCAAAAGAAAAAACTCACAGCTGCCATTAATAGGATGAAGAAGGACCTCCCCACACCCAGCCCTCTTGGCAACACTGATACAAGCAGTGACAGCCTTCAGGGAAGGTCAGGTTCTACTTAGGCACAACCACAGGATGATGACGACCAAAGACAGAGAGCCCTCAAAGTCAACCACCAACTTTAGAGGACAGTGAACTCTGATTTAAAACTGACCTGCATGTGTTATCATGTCTACCTCCAGCCTCAGAAGCCCAAATTTTTGTGGCAATTTAGATTTGGGAATAGAGTAAAAAAACACTAAATCCCACCTGCCAACTTGGATGCAAAAGTCCCCACGGATGGTCCCAGGTTTGGAATCAGCAGGATTGGTCTCCCCGAGCATCACTCGGCCTGTCTTCACCACATTTAGTCCCTCCCAGACCTTCAAGGACAAAAGAGAATGTGATCAAGGAAGAAACCCAATCTCAGCAGAAAATCTGGCAACTATTAATTCAGAAAAAGTCCCCATTAAGATGACATTCAAAAAAAAAAAAAAAATGACATTGATTCAATGAACAAATATTTATGGAGCATCTTCTTGTCCCAGAACTGGAGTAACTGGTCTCCCTGCCCCTACTCCTGCCTTTCTACAATCCACTCTCAACATGGCAAATTATGTGGCTTTTTTAAAATGCCAAATGTAAAACCTCCCATCACCTCCCAGAACTAATGAAGAGCACAGACAACACAGTCCTTGTGCCATGGCCTCTGCCGGTACCTCTGATTCCATGTCTTCTTTCTGGGTGTGGGTACAGGGGATTGAAACTAAGGGTACTTTATAACTGAGCTCCTTCCCCAGCCCTTTTTGTTTTTTGAGACAGGGTCTCGCTAGGTTGCTGAGGGTCTCACTACATTGCTGAGGTTAGCCTCAAACTTGCAATTCTCCTGCCTCAGCCTCCAGTTACTGGGATTTTAGGCATGCACCACCACATCTACTTGTGAACTCATCTCGACCTAACGTTTCTGGTTAAGTTGGCTTTAGCCATCCCAACCTCCTTTCCCTGCCATGCCCCTTCCCAGGTCCTTTCCACATGCTGTTTTTTCTTTTTTCAGGTATCAGGGATTAAACCCAGGGGCACTCAACCACTGAGCCACATTCCCAGCACTATTTTGTATTTTATTTAGAGACAGAGTCTCACTGAGTTGCTTAGCACCTTACTTTTTGCTGAGGCTAGCTTTGAACTCATAATTCTCCTGTCTCAGCCTGTCTCAGACTCCAGAGTCGCGGAGATTACAGGCATGTGCCACTGCACCCGGCCACATGCTGTTTTCTTGATCAGGAATATTCCTCACTGGTTTTTGTGCATGGCAGGCTCCTTCTTGTCATTCAGATCTGAGCTTACAAATCACATTCCTTGACCATCACATCACCCAGTTTCATTTCTGTGCATCTTACTATACTATTATATAAGCTTTTAAATATATTGGCTTAGTAATATACTATATTTATATATTATATATTTATTATGTATGTATGTATGTATGTGTACATATTTCTTAATTTCTTTATTGTCTGCCCACCCTTACTCCCTTCAAGAAATGTAGGCAAGGGCTAGGAATATAGCTCAGTGGTAGAGCATTTGCCTAGTATACCCGAAGCCCTTGGTTTGATCCCCAATACTGTAATTTTTGAAGAAAGGAAGTGCAGGCAAAGAAAGGTATGAAAACAGATATCCACTTTATCTCATTCGTGACTATATCCCCAATGTCTAGAAGAAAGCCTGGCACATATATATAACAAGGAATACTGCAATAGTATATAGTATATATATAGTAATACTGCAATAACCAAGAAACAATCTCCTGCCTTCCAGGAGCTTGAACAAGCAAGTCTCTCCGGTTTCCTCCTAGCCACAGGTCTTCAGCTCAATAAGCAAATGTATCTTTTCTTTGGTGGGTCAGAGAGCTGACTCATACCAACTGCCCATTCCTGCCAACCCGAAATTCCTCTGAAGCAATGAGGCCCTGGCATCAGATTTGGGAATCACAACACTTGTTCTTCTCCACTTCCAACTGAGTCATTCACTCAACATCCCACACAGGCACACTCACCATGGCAACCACTGGCCCCGAGTGCATGTACTTCACCAGGCCAGAGAAGAAAGGACGGTCCTTTAGGTCGATGTAGTGTTCCTTGAGAAGGTCTTCAGAAGCCTTATTCCATAGGACAGAAAAGAAGAACTAAGAACCCCAAACATTCTAAAAACAAATAATCTGGTTATTCCCCCTCACTCATCCTGCTATTTAAAACATGAGCTCTTAGCTCATCATACATTCTCATCTTGGTCATTTTTTTTTTTTTTTTCTGGTGCTGGGAATTGAACCCTGAGCCTTGGGCACACCAGGCAAGCATTCTGCCACTGAGCCACATCCCTAGCTAACTAAATACATTCTCTCCACTACCAGAGGGGAGCAGTGACAAGGACTAAAAGTGCTTCTGCAGTTTGAACCAATTTTCTCCCTCTAGGCCTTGAATGATCAGAATAAAATAACATTAAAATTGAATCCCCCCATCTCATGTTAGGAAAACAAACAATACAATGAATTTCCATTGGTGGACTGTGATGAACTTGGGGAGGGAAGTCAGGGAGGTAGTGTGGGTATTCTATAGGCAGCAAACTGAACCAGGCCATCTCCCAGGAATACTTACTTATTCAGAGGATAAAGCCCCAGTGTGGTGACCATGTGATCCCCAAAGATATCCATAAACCACCCAAAAGAACATGACATCTAGCAATAAATAATTCTTATTTATTGCTGGAAGAATGAATTAAAAATCTCTCACACTTCAAGGCTGGTATATAAGAACAAATCAAGTTAGCTAGAGAGCAAACCATCTGCTTAGTTTCAACTCAACTTGGCTGTGATCTCTCACTGCCTCTATGCTTGCTGAGAATCTCGCAAGGCCCTTAGTTTTAGTTCTATTAATTGGTTCTAAAGCTCTTTAGCTTGCAAAACATATAGACTTTTTTTTTTTTTTTTTTTTTGACAGACGGAGAACCTCAAGTAATGAAAGAAATCATTCCTTCCATTCTTTACCAAACTCACATCCTTGACATGAAAAGTCATTGTAAAGGAGAAAAATGTCTGACTTAGGAGTCAGAGACCCAAGTTAAAAATCCCAGCTGCATCACCAACTGCGCTATCAGGCAACCTCTCCAAGCCTGCTTCCCCTAACAACGTCTCAGGGTTGTCATGAGGGCTAGAGGAGAAAACATAGATGCCCAGCACAGAGTAAATACCTGATCAACACCTCATTCATTTCATTTTACCTTCAAAACCAAATTAATATGTAAATCCATTGTTTGTCCACCAACTGACTCTCATCATTCTACCACGCTCTTCCCTCAGCATTAACATAGTCTGTCCCCTTTCCTAAAATATCACCCAGGAAGTAAACTGCAAATCAAGCTAAAGTTAAAATGCACTAGGAGGGGCCAAGGTTGATTCCTTTAATGGGAAAAATTAATTTATTTGAGAATCTGAATCTTCATCTCTTGGATCTGTTTGAAGAGGATTCTTGGCCAATCCTTTGAATTTACTGAAATACTGTTTTGTAGGTATCTTGTAAAGATGTATCTGCTCTCTGCTATGTCAGGAGAGCTATAGTTTTCCCACCAAAGCCCCGATGGTACCTGATATATGTTGGACACTAAGCAGGTAGTAACTGACAATGCAAAGATTTTCTTGCTGAAAAACAACCTGCCTCAAAAAGGGAAAAAAAGTTCTCTAAAATTATCTGCTTAGAAACCTAGAGTCCAAGAGCTCAAACACACCCGGGGCTATGTCAGAAATTACAGTGCTACAGGAATTATGTGGAGTTCTACATTGCTAAGGGGAAAAACAGACTATTTTTGCAAGTCCCAAATAACTTGTTTTGTTTCAAGAGTTAGCCAAGATGCTAGGTCCCTGAGGGGTTTCCAGGCTTCAAGACGTTTGTGGTCAGTCTACCATGGAGAAATCTAAAAGCAGAGGGGACAAACAGAAATTAATCTAGGAAGAATGAAGTTTACTTACCTGCATTAATTTCATACTAACAAGACGGAATCCCTTCTGCTCAAAACGCTTGATGATCTCTCCCACAAGACCCCTCTGGACCCCATCAGGCTTGATGGCAATGAAGGTGCGCTCATTGTTGGCCATGGTCCTGGAGATAGGCAGGTAGAGGAATGAAACAGCGCTGAATCTCCTGCCTACATTATCCTGCTCAAGCGGATTACCCCCATAAAGCTGGTTTAAATCTGGCATATCTATTCCAAGTCTCTCTGGTTTAAAAAAATGAAAAAAAAAAAAAAACCAGTTCCTCTCCATTACCTTCATATACATATATGAACTAATATCCCAAAGTGGGGAAGAGTCTAAAAGCAGGGACTGTAATTTCTATCCCATTTGATTTAACAAGCTTCTATTAAGCATCTACTGTACACCCAGCACTGTAATGGAACCAAGGTAGGAGATGTACACAAATAAGATGCTCTTTTTCAATTATCCAGTTTGGAGAAAAATGCACTGATGTGGTTTCACTAAAGTGGAAGTGATATCTGTTACAAGTCTATAGGAGATACAGTTTGACCTACTGCTATAACCATAGTATTAGAATTGAAAGGGGTTTTAGAAAATATGTCATGTCATATCATGGGGAAAGAAAGAAGCCTGGAGAGCTTCCATTCCGTATCCTTCCTTTTACAGATAAGATCTGCACAGGACCAGAAGAAGAGATTCCTCACCTTGAAAGACAACCTCTAAGGGGATATAGCAGCCCCGCCTCCTTCTTCCTTCCTGTACTTCAGTTACCTCTTACTATAGAACCTGAACACTGTAGTCCAACTTTCTATTTGTGTGTCTACCTCCCCGCAGGTCTATGGCCTGCAAACAAGGCTGGTTTACTCCTGTATCTGTCTCTGGTACCTAGCCACGAGGCCTACCTGTCAATAAAAGCAAAGAAAATGCTTTAAATGATAATCACTCCGCCCTTCCAAGAAAGAGGCAAAGCCCAAAGATTAGCTGGGGAACCTCTTAAGGAGCGCTGGACAAGCATGGATTCGCCAGAATAAAATGGGGCCAGAACCGGTACCTATAAAAGTACCTTCACACTTCACCCTGGCACACACACCCATCATTCATTCATTCAGCAAGTACTTCCTAAGCGCCAACTCTGTGCCCAGTACCGTACTGAAGGAGAATACGGCACAGCCCCTCCCTAACGGGATAGGCAGCATGGACAAAGAACCCACGTGGCGTGGGAACTGTGCTGACAGGTCTGCACCTGTCCAGAGACGCTCCCCCGCCCTTCTTGTTCATCCGATCCCCTCGCCACCTCTCAGAGCAGAACCCACCCCTTCACTAACCCTCTTCATTTCGCGCCCCCCCCCGCCACCTTCCCCAGATCTCACTCCTTTCCCTTCCCCTCAGGACCCCAAAACCTTCTCACCCCTGCAGCCGCTTGGGCTTTAACTACCGCAGCAGTAGCCGGCACCGGAAACGCAACCCGGCCCCACGTGGTTCCCAGCAGCTGCACACACGGAACGCTTTGGCGCAGATCCGCTGCAGGAGAGCCCTTTTTGCAGAACACCGCTCGCCCACGCCTCCTTTTGTGAGTAGGACGTCATTCTAGGGCGCAACCTTCCGGTGTTTGACTTCCTGCGCTAGTTTTTTCGGGCTCTTCGCTCTGGCTGCCATCTGTTTTTCAACCTTAATATTCTGACTCACTTCCTTCGTTCTCAAGCAAGTTGGCTTCCCGAGAGGTGGCGCTCGCACTTTGCATGACGTTCGAACCAGCATCTGACCTAGAGGTGGACTTGTCTCGCTTCCGCTTTACGTTTATTTACTCCTTCCAGCCTGTCAAGCAATAAAATTATTTACTGAGTACCTACTATGTGCCAGGCACTATTCTAGGCCCCGGGGATAAACAGTATGTTCGCTTCTGGTAAGATTGAGAGGAGTGTTAACCAAAAAACAAATAAGCAAACTAATAGTTTGTGTTGTATAAGTGCTTTGAGGAAAAAAATTGAGCAGGGGGAAAGAGTCGAAGAAATGATAATAGAACAGATTTGCATGACTTGAGGGAACAAGCCTGGTGGCTAAGAGCCGAGAACCATAGTGAGCATTTTGTAGTTCGAAAGGGTCAACATCATGCTGTGGTCAAACAGGTTTTGTCACAGCATGACATATCTATCTATCTATCTACCTACCTACCTATCTATCTATCTCTATATTTCCCAATATATAAATATGGGTTCTGAAGGTGTGGCTCAGTGGTAGAGTGTACGTGGAAGGCGCTTGTTATTATATTCTGCAAAAAGGGCTCTCCTGCAGCGGATCTGAGCAAAACATATTTATAAATTATATAGATACATAGATCTAGATAGATCAGTACATACATATATATTTTTTAATTATTATGAAGAATGAATGGGTAGGGGAAAGCTACAAAAGCGTTTTCAAAAAAAAAAATGCCATTACAGATAGGAAAAAAAAAATGAAACTTGACCAAAATTAACCTCACACATTATTAAAAAAATTCACACAAAATGGTCTATCAATTTAAATGTAAAATGTAAAACTATAAAAACTTTTTTTTTTTTAAAACAAGGCTGGGGAGGGACACAGTGGCCTATGCCTGTAATCCCAAATGTTCCTGAGGCTGAGGCAGGAGGATTGCAAGTTCAAGGCCAGCCTCACCAGCTGAGCAAGGCCCTACCTAACCTTGCCTCAAAAAATAAAAGGGGCTTCTGATGTGGTGCAGTGGTTAAGTGCCTCTGGGTTCAATCCTCAGTATCGAGACAGGAGAGAGAAGAGAGAATTATGCTGACTGGAAAAAAAAAAAAAAAACGACTTGTAGCTGGGCACAATGGCTTGTTCCTATGTCCCAGCTACTGAGAAGTTGAGGGCAGGAGGATTATTACACCCATGAGTTAAAGGCTAGCCTAGAAAAAGCAGTGAGACCCCATTTGGGATGGGGGGAGTCACTTGCAAAAAGTTATATACTATATTATTGTATTTGTACAACATTCTGGAGTGGGTGTTAGGAATCAAACCAGCGCCTTCCACATGCACTCTATCACTGAGCTACACCTTCAGAACCCATATAACATGCTTGAAATAACAAAACTATGGAAATAATAGATCAGTGGCTGCCAGGAGTTAGAGGTGGGGAAGAGGGTCCACATGTGTCCATAAAGGGGTAGCCCAAGGGAGTCTTGTTGTAATGATTCTGTATTTTATTGTGGTGGCAATTATACAAATGCACCTGCATGACAATGTTGCATGAAATTATAAATACCTGACATAAATGAGTACATGTTAAACTGGTGAGATCAGAATAAATTCTGTAGATTATACTAACGTCATTTTCCTAGTTTTAATATTGTACTATAATTATGTAATGTGTTATCATTTATGATTTCTTTGTACATATTTTTGGCAATTTCTTCTGAATCAGTACTTACTTAGAAATCAAAGAAATAAGTGGGATTAGAAAAACTGGTTGAGATTGTATTAGTAGCCCAATTGAGAGAAGATGGTGGTGTACAAATTGGTGGTGACAAAAAGAGGTAGAAACAGGTGTTTAGAGGGCATATATTTAAGATTAAGCCCATAAAGTGTGGTGCTGGTGCATAGGATATAGAACACAAGAGAAAAAAGAATAGAGAGCCAGGTGCAGTGATGCACATCTATAATCCCAGCAACTCGAGAGGCTGAGTGAGGAGAATCACAAGTTTGAGGCCAGCCTCAGCAAATAGCTAGGCTCTAAGCAAATTAGTGAGACCCTGTCTCAAAATACAAAATAAAAAGGTCTTAACCACTGAGCTACATGCCAGCTGAGGCTAGCCACAGCAAATTAGTGAGACCCTAAGCAACCCAGTGAGACTCTATCTTTAAATAAAAAAGGGTTGCTGACGTGGCTCACTGGTTAAGCATTATTGAATTTAATCCCTGGTACAAAAAAAAAAAAAAAGAAAAAAGAAAAAAAACTTTTTAGGCCTAAAAATCACCTTTATGCAAATAATTCCCATATGTCTGTTCTCAGGCTCAACATCTCTTCTGAATCGCAGTAAATTACTGCACACTTTCTCTCTGTGTCAACCACATTCATGGCCTCTAGCTGGCATTTGTTGGCTCTTCATATGTCTGTCAATACTATGCAAAGCCTGGGTTTGATCCCCAGGGAGATAAAACCTTATTGTTATCATTTTAAGATAAGGAAACTGAGGCTCCATGGAGGGAGAATAACAGCTAGAAGAGGTAGAACCAGGATTTCAAGTCAGTCTGTGCAACACCAAAACCTGGGCCCTTAATTACAGGTGTGCTGGATCTCACTTCCAATGGGGATCAATATGGGGGGCAAATAAATCATAATGGAACCACAAGGAGATGACACAATTATTTTCAAATGTAATTTGAGAAGAAGCAGCTAGCTTCAATACTGTGCAAAGAATGGAATTGATTCAGAACATGACTGTCCTGTTATTAATCATTTAAGGAATCAGAGCAGCCAATGCATTATTATACCCATGCATGAGAAATAGAAAGGCATCTTGGGATGCAGAGCAAAGAGCGAACATTCATAATACTAACTGAGAATGAGTCCCTGGGGAATCTTCACTGCTCATAATCAAGAATGAAGTATGAACCCTCCCACCTTTGACTCTAGAGTCAAACTACAAATCAAACAGCAGGATAATTTGGTGAAGGCAATTGCCTGAGCTTCACAAAACCCACACACACAGGTCATCTGTCTGCCCCTGACTCCTCAGTGCTTCTGAGTCCCTGATTCCTGGGGAACTTTTGAGGAAACCTGCAAGAACTTTTGAGGAAACCTGCATTATTTGCTAATAGAGGAAGTAAGTCATGAGTCATCATCACATAGTCTGATGTGGGTACCAACATTTCCCCACCAGAACTGGGGATTGAACCCAAGACTTTGCACATGGTAGGCAAGTGCTGTATCACTGAGTTACACTTCCAGCCCAAGGGAGACTTATTTTTCCTGTTAAATATATCAACTAGTATTAATGAATTGTTTGTCTTTTTTTCACCTCTCCACACTAGTGATTGAACTTAGGAATGCTCTACCACTGAGCTATGTCCCTAGCCCTTTTAGCCTATACTACCACGCCTGGTTGTTGGATACTTTTTCTTTTCTTTTTTTTTAAATTTTTTTTTTTTGTAATTGTTGATGGACAGAACACCTTTATTTTATTTGTTTTTATTTTTATGCAGTGCTCAGGATCAAACCCAGTGCCTCACATGTGCCAGGCAAGCACTCTACCACTGAGCAACAGCCCCAGCCTCACAATGGGTACTTAATCTTAATTTGTGGATGGAAAATCTGAAGCACAGGAAGTTTAAATAATTAGTATCAGGCTACAAAACTGATAAAATGGCAGAACCTGGCTGTGAATCCATCTTATTCCTGTTCCCCGAGCACATTCCTAACCATCATGCTGTGCGATGGTGTGTTCAGGAATCACAGACTTCCCTGCAGAATAAGATTTTTTTAGTCTCCGTCCAACCCAAATTACATCAGTTGTCTTATTTCTTTCTACTCAACTATATTGCTTTCCTTTGATATCCATGCAGTTTCTGCTCTTATGAACAGTGACTCTAATACCATTGAGCTTTTCCCCTTAAGCCCCTTGACTTTCTCCCCTTTTATTTTTTACATCTTCTTAGAGTCTTTTTGTTTCCACATTCTAAGCTTAGATATAATACATAAAGCCTTTGACAAAAACATGGGTTCTCTGCCTTAACATTTCCTGTACTTGCCCTTCCCTGGTATAGTCTTTCAAGCTAAACCTTTCTGGGGCAAAGGATTATATATGTGAAGAGGCTCAACATTCAAGGTAGTGATTTAGCATTAATTACCTTTTTGCTCTCATGTGATTTGACTCTCCACGACCAGACCTGAGACTCTGACCTAGGTCTAATATTTTTTTGTTTTTACCAATGGTGAGTACAGACTGGTTCACCACTTTTTTCCTCCCTTTGACATCTCCAGTTGGGGTTCAATGTCATATAATCTATTATTACCAGAATACTATCATTATAGTATAATACCTTCATATTATTCAGGATAGGCAAAGTTATACTGTAGCTAAAAAAAAAAAAAAGAAAGAAAGAAAGAAAAAATCCTAGTTCTCTGGAGCTACATAAAATCCAATCCAGCTACAGCCTAGCACCTAACCAGTCAGCTATCCCCTGCAGTGGGAGCCAGGCTTTTTCCAACACGTGGCGGTGTCATCTCAGTATAAGGCCTAAACACACCACAGAAGAGCCAAGAGAGCAGGAGAGTCATGCAGTGACTGTTATATGATTGACTTGGCCTGGAGATGACACAAATCACTTCTCCTTTGAGCCCACTGAGAAGAACTAGTCAAATGACCCTGCCTAACTCTAAGAAGGTTAAGAAATATGGGGAACATGTGGCCTTTTGTGAGCTGGATAAGTCTTTGCCTTTTCTCATTAATATGCTACACACTACAATCAGTTCTTTCCTTTCTCAGTCTAGCTGTAAACCATCCACTTGTACCTTGGAC